AATGGCATGCCACAGGGGACTGTTGTAGGTCTGCAATTTAATATATTAATTAATGACTTGGATGAGTTAGGAAATATGATTTATCTGGTTTGCAGATGAACCAGATATTTTCTTTTGAAGTCATCTTTGATTCATTAGAAGACAGTATCTAGTTTAAGCCTCAAGTACTGGTAATCTTTATTTGGTCAAGAACCAGCAACAAAATAGAGACATATAGAAAATAAGTTTAAGTTTCAGAGGATCTTGGGATGCTGGAAAAATAAATGGAAATCAGCAGGATGAATTCTAATAGGAGCAAATGCAAAATCCTACATTTGTATAGAAAAAAAAAAGGCATGGATAAAGCATGACTTATGGTCAACTGTACATATCAAAGGGAATGTGAATCAAAAATTTGATCCCAGGGAATAAATACAATCCCAGGCTGCATCAATTGGTATTGATACCTTCCAATCCATACAGGGGTTTAAAACCCAGTATATTTGTTCTTGATATTTCAGCCTGTTCGATAACAGAATAGCAGCAGTGCAGACCTGTGCATCATGCATCACACAAAATGCATCTCAGTCAGGAATTCTGTCAGAAGGACAGGCCCAGCCTGAGTGGTATCTAATCCAGGGATACAATCCAGTTTGGGATTATATTTATTTCCTGGGACCACACTTTTGACTCGCCTTCCCTTTGACATGTACAGCTGACCATAAGGTTCCATGCTATGTACAAGCCTTTATTTCAAGCTTCAAGTTCAAGCTAGACATCAGGCAGAACTTCCTGAAGGATCAAGCTGGAAGCCAATGGAAGCCCCTCCGCAGAAAGTGGTGAAATCTACTTTGCCGGGGGTCTTCGAGCAGAGGTTGCTGGTCTTAAGACCTGCCTGCTTTGCAAAACTTTGGGGTTTTGCTCATATTTGTTTGCATGGTTAGCCCCCAAGAGTTATGTTTGCAAGATTAGTGTCCATATAAATAACTAAATAAATTTGCCAAATATTTCAGTGAATCCTAGACCAGCTTGCTGAGACTAAATAACTTTTAAAGCATGTTCCAACTGCACAATTCACCCTTGAGCTCCCCAGTGCATAAACACAGCTTTGCTTATGTTGTTGCTGTTTGTGACGGAACAATTAACCAGTGGTATGCTTGCCTTCAGAAGTTGAAGAAGAGACTGGACAGCTATTTGTCTGAAATGATCTAGGGCAAACCTATGTCAAGGGTGCCAGAAGTGGCTTGCAGACCATCTTTCCAGGCACGCAAACCATCACCCGTTGCTCTTCCAGGGTCCAGCACGCCGGCCAGTTGGTCTTCACGCACACTGGAGTGCCGGAAAGCAGAAAAGCAGTCACCCAATGCGCATGTACATGCCAGGAAGATGATCTTCCGGTTTCCAGCTTGCGCCAGCTGCTCTTCCGGTTTCCAGCACGCACGTACACACTCCCGTTTCAGTACTTGGTGCCAAAAAAGTTCACCAACACTGGTCTGCTGCTTGAGCCAGGGGGTTGGACTAGAAGACCTCAAAGATCCCTTCCAACTATGTTATTGTATCTTCAATGTTCTAAATCAATTCCTTTCCAAATCCTAGCCAGGTTTTCTTTGCCTTCCTAAATCCCAATAAGGTTGGGGCAAGTCAGATCTTGAGGCTATTTCAGAGAATGGGGGCAGTGATAAATAAAAGACTGCCTTAACACATTGTAGCTAACATTCTTCAAAAGAGGGACCCTGGATGAAGTCCCTTCTGCAATCTAATAGCACAGGCCCACTTTAAAGGTGACAACCAACACCTTGAATTTTTCCCAGAGGCAAACAGGTAAGCATTGCAACTCTCAAAGCAGTTATGTTCCATGGACAAATCAAGACGTAGCCGGCTGCAGCTTCCAAGTCATCTTCTGTCAGGCCCAAAGCCAAGAATGATGATGATTCAGTGGTGATTCTTCCAAGCAGAGTTCTTTATTATTTTGTGTCTATAAATAAAATCTTGCCAGATTGAGGATTTTACTATCTCCTTCTTCTTCTTGTTAGTTGCGAAGTCGTGTCTGACCCATTGTGACCCCATGGACAATGTTCCTGCAAGCCTTCCTGTCCTCTACCATCCTCTGGAGTCAATTTAAGCTCACGCCTACTGCTTCAGTGTATCTACCACATATTCTAGGAAGAGTATGTAAGTATCTTAAATTTTTAATAGAATATTTTCTTTTGTCCTATAACTGTATAATTGTGAAAGCAGCAAGATTAAAAAGAATTAGAAAAGAAAAGAATTGCACAAATGAAAGGCCACTAGTAGGTTTACCCCTTTAATTTTAAATTGCACACTGTAAAAATATCTAATTTGTTGTCATGCTTAGAATTTGGACATCTATAAGCCAATAGATAGACTTAACATGTTTGAGAAAGACTGGGAAAAACTGATACTTTGCTATCAACTACCACCCTTATCCCATGGCACCCATGATGGGATCTCTTTGAACAGCTGAGCATGTCCCTCAACAGCCCCAAAATACATCCAGAGAAGTGCAGCCCTCAGCAGATGAAGACATGCTTGTATCTGGCGCAGAACACCTGTCTCCTTATGGTCCCATCCAGACATTCATCCCAGCCTGGGAGAACATATGCACCATGGGTCAAGGACATTCATGGTTTTTTTTTTTTACAAAGAAAGTGGTCAATTGTCATCAGTTAAGCTGAACTGAAGAATGAAGGAAAATTGGATTCAGAATCCAGTAGCTGTGGTTGTTTTTAAAAGAATTTCATTTATATTATGCTTGTATAGTTAACAAAACAATATTTAATCTTAATGAAAAAATAAAGACTCTTGTATCTTTGTACAGGTAGCCTTTGACTTACAACCACAATTGAACCAAAAATTTCTATTGCTAAGCAAGACAATTAAGTGAATTTTGCCCCATTAATGACCCTTCTTGCCACATTTATTAAGTGAACCACTGCAGGTGTTAAGTTAGTAATATTGTTAAGTGAGTCTAATATCCTCATTGACTTTGCTTGTTAAAACGTTGCAAAAGGGATCACCTGATCCCAGACACTGCAACCATCATAAATATGAACCAGCTGCCAAGCATCCCAATATTTATCACGTGACAATAGACAATAGACCAATGCAATGGTTGTGTGAAAAATCGGTCATAAGTCACTTTTTTCAATGTTTATACTCTTGAATGGTCACTAAACAAATCATTGCAAGTTGAGAACTACCTGTATTCAAATGGTTGGTTTTGCCAACATTAAACCGTGAGCTGTGGCACAGTGGTTAGAATGCAGCACTGCAGGCTACTTCTGCTGATTGCTGATTGCTGGCTGCCAGCAGTTCAGCAGTTTAATTCTCATCGGATCAAGCTTGACTCAGCCTTCCATCCTCCTGAGGTGAGTAAAATGAGGACTCAGATTGTTGGGGGCAAGAGGCTGTCTCTGTAAACCGCTTAGAGAGGGCTGCAAAGCAGTATATAAGTCTAAGTGCTATTATTGCTATTGTTTTAAATATGTTTTGTGAACCTTGGTAGTACAGTGGTTTAATGCACCCTGTAATTAACACAGCTGCCTGCAATTTCTGCAGGTTCGAATCTTACCAGGCTCAAGGTTGACTCAGCCTTCCATCCTTTCTAAGGTAGGTTAAATGATGACCCAGTTTGTGGGGGCAATAAGCTGACTTTGTATAAATATACAAAAGTATGAAGGCTATTGCTTAACGCATTGTAAGCTGCCCTGAGTCTCCGGAGAAGGGCGGCATATAAATCAAATTAAAAAAAAAAACAAGCCCTGAAGAGTCATATTGAACAATGCACCATATATGGCAGTTATGAACCCCAGAAAGCAGAAACTAGCACATGTTGTGGCTTCTTGCTATGTAGAATCCAGCTGCTGAGTTTAAGAAGGGTTGGCAACCTTATCACCTTTAAGATAGTGAACTTCAACTCCCAGAATTCCCTAGCAGCCATACTGACTGGGAAATTCTGAAGTTCACCCATCTTAAAGTTGCCAAGGTTGAGAAATACTGGGTCAGAGTGACAGAGGAAGTCTTGCTAGTTACATTTTGCAATCCTGAGAATTTGCACACACTCAACACCCACTGGAACTCTGCAGCAGAGAACTGGACCTGGGGCTTCCAACTGGTCTTGCAGTCCTTCACAGCGTTTAACATGAAAGAAAGGAACAAATTTGCCAGGAGGATTAGCAGAGATGCTATCCTTTGGGGAGGCGTCCAGCAAGGAGCAAATAGCTTGGCAGCATTTAAGTAAATGAGGCAATTCCATTCATTATGCTTATGATAATAACAGTAATTACATCATTAACCTTTTTAGCAACTTTCCCAGGAGAGTTAAAATGTTCTGTAATGTATAGACATCATAATGATATGGTGGCTTTAGGCTGCAGTCTTCAAACCACTTTCTCTCAAGTAGTCTAATAGGGTCCCCTGGGTACATTTCGAGAGGAGGAGATGGGAGGGGGAGGGGGGAATCGGCTTCTTTGGGTTAGAAATGGGTCTGGTTGCTGAGAAAAAGGACCAAGAGTTGGCACGGAACCACCCAAGGCCCCACGGAGTGAGGGGGAGAGCCCTGGGTGGGGGCATGTTTGCAACATGCTTGCAGGATTCCACATGCCGCCTGAGTCTGAGAAGGCGAGAAGAATCTCCGTTCTCTTGCAAGATCTTGTGTCAGTCCTGGGAACAGATGGAGACAGCGTCTTTCCTCCACCTGCATCTCGGAGTAGGTGGGGCCTCGTGTTCGGTTTGGGCGGTGAGGAGCAAGGAGCTTCTCTGCATTCAACAAGGACAGAAAAGGTCAGGGAAGAACCTTGTATCTCTGCTACTAGTTCCCAACTTTTGTGCAAGCCTACTGGCTGCCCTCATCAAGAAGAAAAACATTCTGCCTTCTTTTCTTTTTCTTTTTCTTTTTTTTTTTTTACAAAGCAGAAGATTCTACCTAAAATAAATAGGCAAATGCTTGGTTATTTTCCCCAATGGCGCTCATAGATAGCAACAGAACCAATAGAGTCATGTTAGCTTCAAAGAGAATAGATAGAAGATAGAATTCTTTATTGGCCAAGTGTGATCTTTGGTGCATACACTCTCAGGTGACATAAAAAGAAAAGATACATTCATCAAGAATCATAAGTACAACACTTAATGATAGTCATAGGGTACAAATAAGCAATCGAATCATACTAGGAAACAATATCAATATAAATCGTAAGGATACAAGCAACAAAGTTACAATCATGCAGTCATAAGTGGGAGGAGATGGGTGATAGGAACGATGAGAAGATTAATAGTAATAATGCAGACAGTGAATAGTTTGACAGAATTGAGGGAATTATTTGTTTAGCAGAGTGATGGCATTCGGGAAAAAACTGTTCTTGTGTCTAGTTGTCTAGTTGAAAATATTTTCACAGCCCTCTTTTTGACTCATACTCGTGTATCGAATAAATACAATTAATAAGAAATCACTTGTTTAGTCCAATACAGACCTATAACATTTCCAAATGTAAACAATAAAAAAGATTAAAAGTGAAATGCCCTAAATCAGAGAAAAGGGAAAGTTTAATTTTCCACCAGATCAATAGTGATGTGAACTCTGGTAATTGAAATCCGCACATCTTAAAATTGCCAAGGTTGAGAAACATTGATCTAGACCCGTGATGGTGAACCTATGGCACGCATGCCACACATGGCATGCAGCGCCCTCTCTCATGGCACATGAGCCATCGCCCCAGTTCAGCTCCGCTGCGCATGCGCATGTGCATGTGCCTCCCACCAGCCAGCTGGTCTTTGGGTCTCTGCCACGCATGGGGAGATGGGAGACGTGCGGGCTTGCACGTGCATGCGCAGGGCGCATGTGTGGGGTGTGTGCATGCACAGGGCAAGTGTGTGGGGCCATATGTGCATCCATGGGAGCATACAGGGAAGCATGCAGGGGGCCACGCGTGCATGCGTGGGGGGCCAGGTGCGCACTTACATTGCATTTTTGAGGTTTGGGCGTGCGCGTGCGCATTCACACATACAGGTGCATACGTTTTGGGCACTCGGTCCAGAAAAGATTAGCCATCACTGATCTAGATGAAGGGCAAGTACAGGGTAGTACAGGGGTTTAAGGCACCCTGTTATTAAGCTTATTAAGACCAGCTGCCTGCAATTACTGCAGGGTTCGAATCTCGCCAAGGCTCAAGGTTGACTCAGCCTTCCATCCTTTCTAAGGTAGGTGAAATGAGGACCCAGTTTGTGGGGGCAATAAGCTGACTTTGTATAAATATACAAAAGGATGAAGGCTATTGCTTAACGCACTGTAAGCCACCCTGAGTCTTCGGAGAAGGGCGGCATATAAATCAAATTAAAAAAAAAAAAATTCTCTTATTGTCTGTAAAGTGACATTTGCTACCTCCAGAAAATTTTGTGCCCCCCATCGTGATTGAATCTGTTCTCATATGTTTTGAGCAAGAAACACAGATCTGGGATGAAAGCCATCCACTTTTTCAACAAAGGAAAGAAAGAGAGGGACAGAGAAGAAATAGGGAGGGAGGGAGGAGGAAAAGATAATTGATTTAAAATGAGTTCCATCTTTTTTTTTTTACAAATATCTTTATTTCATAAATATTAAAATACAAACTAAGATAGGATAGGAATAACGGGACAGATTAAAAGGTAACAAAAAATCCCATCAAATAAATATAAAAGTGACCTTTTTTTTTCATATAAAAAGTATAATACAATAACCTCTCTAAATGAAAAATCAATATTTAAACTATCTTAAAATACTAATAGTTAACATTCTTGTGAAACACAATTTGACATTTGAATTAAAGTCCATTGTCTGATAATGATACTGCAGCATGTTATTTTATAGACCTTAAACAGAAAGTATCATCTGTTTTGGAGATATTTCAAATTCAGAGGCAGCTCTTGAATATTGTTTTCTTTAAGTTTTATATGTATAAAACTTCAGCAGAAGGAAAATATGCCCCCGTTGCACTTCTGAAGTGGAATTTGCAGGAGCCAAAGGAACCTTTCAATTCCTTTGATGGAATCAGCAGAAGCTTACAAAGGGTGTATTGCTTTGTTGGGGCACAGACCCTGACCCCACTTCAGATTTTCTTTCCAGTGAACAGACACTTCTTTTATATCCCCTTTGCCCATCAAGCTACTCAGCAGCCCTAAAAAGAGAAGGAAAAAATCCAGCAGTCAATACAGGTACCATAAGGTAGAAATTGAACTGTGGGTCCCACAGCCAAGGCAGTCCTAGGTTGCATCACCAGGGGGATTTAAGTTTTAAAATCATGTGAAGTGTTAGTATTGCTTTACACTGCACTGGTGAAGCTACACTTGGAGAACTGCATCTAGTTTTGGTCATCATCATATAGAAAAGTTGCTGAGGCCCTAAAAGCAATGCACAAACTATGCGCATAACTAGGGAACTAGAGGATAAAGATAAAACTTAGGATGAACAGTTGCCAGAACCGAGTATGTCTACTCTGGAGGACTAGGGGACATGATAGCTGTCTTCCAGAACTTGAGAGGCTATCACAAAGAAGAGGGGATTGATATGATATGCTGTCGTATCACTAGGGGTGTTATGATAGAAATGTTCCAATATTTGAGAGGCTGCCACAAAGAAGAGGGGGTCAACCTATTCCCCAAAGACCATGAAGGCAGGACAAGAAGTAACAGATGAAACTTAAGAGAGATCCAATCTAGAACTAAAGAGAAATTTCTTGATAGTTAGAACATTTCATTAGTGGAACGACTTGTCTCCAGAAGTTGTGGGTGCTCCAACACTGGAGACTTTCAAGAAGAGACTAGACAACCATTTGACCAGGATGGTATAAAGTCACCTGTCATGAGCAGGGAGTTGGACTAGAAGACCTCTGAGGTCCTTTCCAGGCCTATAATTCTATGTTCTGTGACTCCCCAAGATGCTTAGTTCTTTCCTAGTGACAATTTGGCCTCTTCGGGGATTCCTTCTGCAGCCTCCAAAGGCAGCCTCCAACTAAGCATGATAACAGATATTACAGAATAAAAGAATAAAAGTTGGAAGGGAAGTCTTCTAGTCCAACGCCCTGGTCAAGCAGCAGATCTTATACCTTTTCCAACAAATAAGAGCAATTTGGAAGTAGAGTTGGGGGTTCCTTGGACCTGTTCAAGTGGAAGCTGGATAGCCATCAATCTGAGGGTGCCAACTGGACACCCAGGAAAAACTGTCTCATTCTGCCTTAATGCTTCTCTCTCCAGAATTTCTTCTACTTTCTTTTTCTTCTCTCTTAATGGCTAGCCTGTAGAGTCCCTGTGCCTTGTGCTTTGCTCTGTCTCTATACTTCTTTCTTTTCTGCACCATCCATTCCCTTTGAGAGACAAAGGCCTGTTTTTCATCAGCTGCTTTATCTGCTTGTCGGTAGCTGCAGAGCCTCCAAAATGGAGCGCTGCCTGCATTCTCCTCCCACACCTGTGTCAAGGTTGCAGCTTTATTGGCAACTCTGCCCTGCTGACGCTGAGGGAGAGCTCAGATGAAGGGGAGGAAGGGGGCGCAGGGGCCTGCCATTTTTCTAATTAGCTTGTTCTTTCACAAACCTGCAGGACTTCAAAATGCTAAGGTGTCAGTTGCAAGATAGTTATGGCTTAACTCCTCCATCCAGTCACAGCTATGCCCACTAAGTTGGAGGTGCATCATTGTATAAGATTGACATAATGGTTATCATTACAAGTAGTCAGATTAACAAAGTTGGAAGGGATTGGAGGCCATCTACTCCACCCCCCTGCTCAAGCCATTCTGGATAAATGGCTGTCCAATCTCTTCTTAAAGACCCCCAGTGATGGAGCACTCACAATTTCTGGAGGCAACTTCTATTCCACTGGTTGATTGTCCTCACTGTTAGGAAGTTTCCCCTTAGTTCTAGGTTGCTTCTCTCCTTGATTGGTTTCCATCCATCGCTTGTTGTCCTGCCTTCTGGTCCTTTGGAGAATAGATTGACCCCCTCTTCTTTGTGGCAGCCCCTCAAATATTGGAACACTGCCATAAGTTCTCGACTTATAACCATTCGTTTAGTGACTGTTCAATTTGGATGCTTGGCAACTGGCATGCATTTATGACAGTTGTATTATCCTGGGGGGGTCACGTGATCAGCATTTAGAACCCTCCCAACTGGCTTCTGACAAGCAAAGTCAATGGGGAAAGCCAGATTCCCTTAAGGGCAAAACAGTGGCAAAAAAAGGTTGTAAAATGAGGCACAACTCACTTAACAACTGCCTTGCTTAGCATCAGAAATGTTGAGCTCAGTTGTGGTCACAAGTCTGGGACTACCTAAACAGTGTCTTTAAGATGATCTCAAGCTAAGGTTGCCAAAGGCCACGCATTATTGGCAAGAAGGCAGAAAGACCAAAACGTGTCCCAGGCAGCCGCCTTCTCCCAGTGTCACCTTTGTGGTCCCTTCCCTCCCTTTTTGACCCTCATATTGGTAGATTTTAGGATTATCGTATTTTCACTTTATGAAGAAAGGACCATGAATTGCATACTGTGATACACAAAATCCAGTTACTTGTGGTTTTCTGCAACAGGGAAACAGCAGGTGGCTCCTGAATTCAGTTCTTGTTGGTTGTTTTCATCACGAGGTTTCAAACTCAAAAATATCCGTCTAAAAGTCACTGCCTAAATCAGAGGTGTCCAACCTTAGCTTTGCTGGCTGGGGGATTCTGGGAGTTGAAGTCCACAAATCTTAATGTTGCCAAGGTTGGACATTCCTGGCCTAACCCAATGTTGAATTCTTTCTTAAAACATCTCTCCAGCGAATCCCAAGAATCAGCTCTCAAGTGGGACACTACCAGGGGTGGGTTTCACTTACCTTTGCTACCGGTTCGCTCACGTGCACCACATCTGCACATGCGCAGAAGCTTCTGCGCATGCGCAGATCGTATTTGATGACGTCTGGGCAGGTGGGCGGAGCCTCCCACTGCTGCTACCGGTTCACCCAAACTGGGGCGAACCAGTAGCAGCCCACCACTGGACACTACTCTGGAGCTCATGGCCAACAGACCTTTTTATAGGCCTGTTGGCCACTCCCCTCCTCCCTGTACCAATCAGAAGGCAGCCTTGGCCATGCCCTCTAACCAAAATTTACATCCTGCCCCATATAAGCTTCCTGGTGGCCATTATGATTAGCGTGGGTGGATGTGACTGCATATCTGGAGCTTGGCCACCAGCCTGCATTTACAAGAGTTTGGGGTGTCCCATGGTCACATGACCACATTTTACAACATTTTTGCTGAAAACAGGCATTTATTTCTGGTTTTCAGCAATTGTTTCCATGGGGAACAATGGGTTTGTTTTATGACCATGGGGTTCCCTTTATGACCGCTGCAAAAAAGATTGTAAAAATGGGTCCAATCATATAGTGACTTGCTTTATTACCATTATGAGTTACAAGGACTAGGGTTGACATGATAGCAGTGTTCCAATATTTGAGGGGCTGCCACGAAGAGGGAGTCAATTTATTTCCCAAAGCACAAGAAAGCAAGACAAGAAGCAACTATGGAGAGAAGCAACCTAGAACAAAGTAGAAATTTCCTGATACTGAGAATGATTAATCAGTGGAATGACTTGCCTTCAGAAGTTGTGCTCCATCACTCAAGAAGAGACTGAACAACCATCAGTCTGAAATGGTAGAGTCTCCTGCTTGAGCAGGGAGTTGGACTAGAAGACCTCCAAGGTCCCTTCCAATTCTGTTATTCTGGTCAGGCTCTGTTACAGACATAACTCAAGGACTACCTTGTAAATAAAATAACTTTTATTTATTGTTTTCTTTTTCTTTTTTAGTGAGTGGAGGCGGCTTATCAGTAAAATATCACTTTAACCACTGCAAAGCCAAATGCCTCTATCAACTGATTGTTGCACAATTAATTGGTTAACAATCGTAATCGTAACATTCATTCTGAGCCTTTACAAAGCCATTGTATAGATGCTTAGTAAGAGAAACTAGATCAAAAGAAAAACACAATTATTACGAAATTCCAGCCAATAATATTAGTTCACAAGTTAATGATCAACCAGTAAAACCAATATTTTGAACTAAAACAACTCAAACATATCTTCTTACTAGCTTTCAAGGTGCCTTAGGACTATGTAATTTGTTTGTTGTTGTTGTTGTTGTTTTATCTCTAGGTTGTTTTTGAGGACAGTAAGAGCACAATTATGCAATTCCATCTGCCACATTTTGTGAGGGAAAAAAGTAGCTCAGAGCTGGAATGGAAAGAACGTGATTTTTCTATGACCCACGATAGAACTGGAATGAAGCAGGATCCACGTTTCTATTGGGTGCCTTCCTTTCACCCTCTTCCCTTATGCTTGGGGTTAAAGTTGTTTCTTTCCCTTCCCTACAAGAGGAAGCAGGGATGCTCCGGCTGAAGTTTGGTTGCCAAAGAAGGAAACAGACCAGCAAGGTCTGGGAAGCAGCCTTTAGCTCAAGGCAGAAGGTCCCATGACGAGGCAACCAAGAAAGTCACACCAAGCAGGTAGCAGAGCATGGGACATACTCCCTGTTGTGCTTCATCTCAACGCCTGCCCTGCAACAGGGCCATCCATGCCGGAGATGGCTCTCCATTAACCTAGAGGAGAGGGAGGGGAGCCCATCTGAGATATCAGTCTTCCATGGAGCTACTTAGATGAGGTCCCTCAACCTCCCGCCTTGATTGGAAGCTCCTTTTCCCACAAATGCAAGAGGATCTTGGTGTGGGGTCCTTGTCCTCGTCCCTGGCCCTTCTCTCCATAAGCCTTCCTCCTCTCTCTTCCTCTCCCCCATTTTCGCTCTCCCTCCCTCCCTCCTAACGCACTTTGTGAACTGCTGTTGCAATGCCGAAGTCCAAAGTTCAGCTACTTGCCTAAGCACACAGATAAATATGAACCTTGGAGAATTTGCATTGCTCCAATGTAAACAGAAAGGCGAGGGTCCCTTTATCAGGACTGGCTCAGGACAGTGGTGGGGGGCCTAAGGCAGCCTTTTCTCTTTTTTTGGTCTTGGGGAAATTGGGGGTGGGGGTGCCAAAAGAAGATCTGCGGCCATTTCTACTCCGCTGACGGCTGGATGGCTGACTTTGGAAACATGATGTAGCCCCAAAAGGTGTTGAACGCGCAAGTTCCAGGCAAGGAGGACAGCTGGGACCATGGTCTCCAAACTGACCCATCTTCAGGTGGAGCTGCTGGGAGCCCTGCTGGAATCGGGGCTCAGCAAGGAGACCCTGATCAAGGCTCTGGCGGAGTCCGAATTGCACCACAGGGACAACCAGCAGCTCGGTGGAGCCCTCCAAGTGGATAAGGGGGAGCCTTGTAGCGAGATGATCCCGCATCTCCCCAATGGAATGGGGGAGTCCAGGATGTCAGAGGAGGAGACCTCAGACGATGGGGAAGACTTCACTCCTCCAATCATGAAGGAACTGGAAAACCTGAGCCCAGAAGAAGCTGCTCACCAGAAAGCCGTGGTGGAGAGATTATTACAGTAAGAGCACGCCTGCCTCTAGTTTCCTCCTCGCCCTTCTCTCTCCCTTCGTCCATGGCTCTGTCTTCTTCCTCCTTCACTTTGGGACCCCTTTCCCCAATAGGATCCCTCGGAAGGAGGCATTGGCTGGGGAGGATGGAAGATGCAGTCCAATGTGTATGGAGAGGGGCCTGGTGAGAGAAAGATGACCCCAGGAGTGGTTTAGGGATCCCAACTAACCTAAACTTCAGAGGTTTATCCCAAGGCTGGCAATGAGATCCAGGCTGACAATCCTGAAAGAGGGTGGAGGGACAGTGGACATTTCAGGCACATCTGGGAGGGAAAAAATCCTTTCTCGGTCAAAGCAGAAAACAACCTTCCACATTCTGTTTTTTGAGGGGCCCATTTCAAATATTGCTCGGAGGAATCGGCGTGCAGGAACCCCATAGAACCAAACGGGGAACAAGCTGTTTATGAAGGTCGGGTGCTGTGAAGAACTGTGTTGATGGCAGAAGTATCTTCCACCTGTATTAATTGTAACCCATGGCACACGATGAAGCGAGTTGCACAAACACAACTTACAAAGTACAGTGTTACTCCGTACCTAACCAGCTTAACAACGGGTAGTTGAATCCTTGGAGGGAGAATAATTCTATACGATTAATTCAAGTCTTTGCATGAGGCCCCTCTATTCTTGGGCAACGCGTTTTGGGGAACACGTTTTTGCTGCCTGACATTAGCTCTGTGACTGCTCTCCCCCCCCCACACCCCCAGTCATGACTCCTGACAGTTTCTGTACAGGATGGAAGACCCCCCCCCACCATGTGTCTTCCCCACCTTTCGTTTCTTTCATTATCCTGGATCTTACTGCAGGGGCTGTTTTATGACTCTGTTTTACGCTGTTTTTTTAGTTCTTTCCTAAAGGGTTCAGGACGTTGCTAAAAAGTGGGTCATAGATCTGTCTGAATAAAAAGTGAGGAGTCTCGCACTAAGCATTTAATGAAAGGCTCCCCTGGAAAATGAAGCCCACATGAGCCCCTCCAGATCTGTTGAGAGCAGCCATCCCTTTCCACCTTGGGGGTGGGGGAGATGAGTGCAAATGCAGACGCCCATCTTTCAGAAGGAATAGAGAGATTGCAGGGGTCGAGAAGCTCTTCTGCCCTAGAGATTGAGGGGGCTCCCCTCCCTAGTAAAGGACAAGCATGCCCTAGATGGGATCCTTACCTGTGGGGTGAAGCAGACAAGCTTCTGGGCTTCTTCCTCCTCTTCTTCCTCTGTTGCAGCTAGGGAGACCTTCCCCACTCATCTCCCTTCGCTAATTCCCCTTCTGGGGTTCAGCTTCCAAGCTACCTGCCCTTCAGATGACCCCTTCTTCTCATCCCCCAAGTCGCCCTGACTCTGCGTGGAGATCTAGGGTCAGCTTGGTTTCCAACGTTTCAGGACTGGACTGGTTACTAATTATCCAGTGGCTTTATTATTTCTCTTTTGTCTTATACATTTATAAACGAAAAGGCTCAGATAAGCCTTTTGATCATTAACTTCTGATGATTTATCAGGTGTCTCTTCTTAGAGGAAAGCGCAGAAGCCAGAGAACACCTGTCCTGCAAGGGGTCCTGGGAAACCAGCAGGGCGGAAGGGGAGAGGGAGGGCAGTAGGGGTCTCTGCCTGGGTCAGCACTAGAAGATGTTCATATATAGAATACTTATCCCATTCTCGTGAGCTGACGTATTTTAAAACATAACCTATAACTAACTTTTGAATTCCTCATACCTTACAAAATTGATCCTCGACTTACAACCGTTTGTTTAGTGACCTTTCAAAGTTGCAGCGGCACTGAAAAAAGTGACTTATGATCATTTTTCACATTTACGACCATTGCAGCATCCCCCTGGTCATGTGATCAAAATTCGGATGCTTTGCAACTGACTCATGTTTATGACGGTTGTAGAGTCCCGGGGTCATGTGATCACCTTTTGCAACCTTCTGACAAGCAAAGTCAGGTTCACTTAACAACTGTGTCAAGAAAGGTGGTAAAATAGGACAAAACTCACTTAACTGTCTCACTTAGCAACAAAAATTTTGGGTTCCATTGTGGTTGCAAGTAAAAGGAACTTAAGTACTTATGTACATATTTCCTTCACACGTGTATTACGTGTTCCTTTTATATATTTTTACTACTGTTATCCATTACTCTGCCATTCACTAAATAGACAGATAGAGAGAGAGAGAAATAGAGAGATAGAGAGATAGATAGCACTAAATCGAGTTCACCTAAACTGGGTGCCCAGTACCCAAGGAAAACATTCTGGCCAGTTTTGCAGGAATATGGGCCAACAACAACAATATTGACCCTCTGAACTGGCACTATTTCAGAATTCAAAACATCTCGCATAAATTTATGGAATTAGCTCATCTAGGATTTAGCTGAATTATCATAAAGTCATACCAGATGGCTCTGTGGATTTATGAGACAAACCATAGTGATTGACTTCATCAGGTTTCCCCATCATCAAGTCAGGTCCATGATAACTTGGGGCAAGGAGTGCAGCAGCCAACCTCAGGGACCCGGTTCAAAGATAAAGAAGGGGCCCATCCTCTCCAACTGCAGAGAACATGAGGTCCTCCAGCAACCTCCTGTCTCCCTCCTTTGCTTGTTTTCTTAGAGGACATTCAGAAGAAGCTCCAGGATTATGACACCTGGGAAGTTCTGGACCGGCCACCTAGAATATAGGTTAGAAAGTGTCTGGAAACACCTTTTAAATCAGTGTTTCTCAACCTTGGCAATCTTAAGTGTGTGGGCTTCAACTCACAGAATTGGGTAAAGGATTTGAGAGGAATTAGCCAAGAACATGAAATTGTAACTTAATTCACATGCAATGCTAAACCATAGCCACATCCAGGTTTGTTTAAAGAATCACAATTACCAGGATTAATCCTCATATTAAATGAGGGATAGACAGTGAGTAATGTGAGGGTCATGTGAGCCCTTCAGCTAAGTTCTTCAGCCCCAGAGCCCTTAAGACTGGGCTGTTAAAATTCAGCATCAACCGAATCTGTTTTCAAAGGATCCTAGAGCTGGAAGGGACATTAGTGGTCATTTAGTCCAGGAGTCTCCAAGCTTGGCAACTTTAAGACTTGTGGATTTCAATTCCCAGAATTCCCCAGGCTTAATACTTTTGGACTTCAATTCTCAGAATTGAGGAATTCGGGGAGTTTTAAAAGTTGCCAAGATTGAACCCCCTGATTTAATCCATTCCTTCGCTGGGCTTGAAAACCTCCAGTGAAGAGAAGATTTCTTCAGTGCTCCATCAAGAGAGAAGCCCACTATTAGGAAATTGCTTTTCACATTTAACCTGAATCTATTTTCCCAAAGTTTCAGACCTCTGGGCAACAGAGAATAACACAAATTTGAAGACTGCTATCTCATCTCCCATCAGTCATCTCTTTTGCAGACCCTTTAAATGTGTAGCTTCCAGGGCAAGCTCAAAGGAATCCACAATATGAACCAGCTGCAAGACTCATCATAAGGATCTCCACTCATTAACTGCTTGATTAATCAGTGGAACGACTTGCCTCCAGAAGTTGTGAATGCTCCAACACTGGAAGTTTTTAAGAAGAGATTGGACAACCATTTGTTTGAAATGATATAGAGTTTCCTGCCTGAGCAAGGAGTTAGACTAGAAGACCTCTAAGGTCCTTTCCAGCTCTATTCTGATTGACTGATACAGGGTCTCCTGCTTGAGCAAGGGGTTGGACTAAAAGACCTCCAAGGTCCCTTCCAACTCTGTTATTCTATTCTATCTGTAACCCACCAGGAGAGTCCACAGTCAGAAAAGTCAAGATGGCAGCCACAACGGAGTCACTGAACTTCTGCTGCTTTTTATAGGCAACAGCATAAAAAGTTTCTATCATGCTATCCTAGCCATCATTGCTCCTTCGACTACACCCTGTGGACAGCCCTGTGTCCTGCCAAATTCAGCCATTTTGATCCCACGTCACCATTTTGCATTTGGCTCATGCTCTAGCCAGTATTTTGCATCCACATCCCCCACCCCGCCACCCCGAAGAAATAACAGCAGCAACAACAGGGCCCTGAAGTAACACCCAAAGCATGAATAGATTTGACATCCCTCATTTTGCCAAATGCCGTTCTGGGCAATGCATCAGTGGCTCTGAGGTTCTTGGTTGAGAACAGAATCACTGGAGTCAACCCCCATTGATTACATACTCATTTGGACTTCTAGAAAATCGTACAATAAAATAAAATCAATCTTGCAGGGCTGAAATTGACCTTTTCCACTCTCTTATCAGGTGACTGAAGGCGTGGAATGCCAGGAGTCTAATGCAAATCTAGTCTAAGGGCTCTGATGAGCTAAAAAAAAGGGAGTGTTAATTTAAGAGCCCCTTTTCAAAACTCTTTAGAGCAGGGTGTCCAACCTTGGCAACTTGAAGACTTGTGGACTTCCAACTCCCAGAATTCCCCAGCCAGCATGCTAGAAATTTTAAGTCCACAAGTCTTCAAGTCGCCAAAGTTGGACCCCTTTGTTTTAGAGCAGCTGACTGCACCCATGTTCATTAATTTACACCTTTGTGCCGCTGACTCTAGTAATTGTACTCTTTCTTAGTGCCTGTTCTCAGCAAGGGGCCTTTCTGCATAAAGGAACTGAAAGAAGAACATTTCCCTTGCTCCTCTTCATAAACAACTCCCACTGTCTCTTTCACGGCTGCAAATGACTTTTTACAGGAAGATTTTTCCACTTCTTTGGAAAGTGGGAATCTACATTCCCTGGTGCTTTTCTACCCAGGAACCAAGTCCTAATTCTGTTCCCTTTCCTTGGCTAGCAAGGTGGTTACAGCCACTTTGGGGAGGGGGGGAACACCTTGAAATAACTGGCATGGAGAGGGATGGAAGAGGAGCATCCCAACCCAGCAGGAAAGACACCACTGCAGTCAACAGAAGCTACACCCCAAAAGTCTGCCCACCCTTTTGCCGCTGGTGGCATGCCAGATCTGCCTCGCCTTGTTCCAGGGCCATTTCTGGACCACATCCAGGCCTTTTTACTGTCCTTCTGGGAACATGTTGTGCTCTTTATCTTGTAAGGGAGGAGAGAGTAAACATGGACTCCTGTTAATTTATCCAGCTTGTGGAAGCACTTTGGACTTTGGCCTTAGGAAAAATACTGGCAACAGCAAAGGCGCAGAAGGTGGGGTGGCCCTTGCCCAGCCGAACAGAAACTCTTCCAGCCCCTCCCCGAGAGAGAAAGAGATCCATGAAGGAGCCAACAGAAAGCCAGTCCCAGATGAGAATCCCAAAGGTGCTTTTCCAAAAGGAACTCTTGTGGTTTATTTCCTTGAAAACGCTTTGCTTCTCATCCAAGAAGCTTCTTCGATTCTCATCTAGATTCTTGGATGAGAATCAAAACGCTGTCAAGGGGGAAAAAGTCCACTTGTGTTTTGGAAAAGCACCCTTGAGGAAACCATGACCTAGAAGATGATGGAGAATCTCCATAGTCATTCCCAGGTCTATGGGTGCAGCCGTGCCGGCAAAGGGGTAACACGTCTCCTCATGAGTTTGGGTCTCTCCGTGGAAGTCCTGGATAACTTCCACTGACAGCTTGCCTGCCATTACCATCAGATTCAGTAACACGGATGTGTTGGGGGCACAGGGCACCCAGGAAGGACCCCTGCCAAATCGCTAAACTGGGGAGAAGGGCAGTAGCCAAGGCTGAGAGGGTTCCCAGAGTTTGAAAAGGGCCTTGTTGCAGCTGCCCACAAATGTTCAGCTGATAGGCAGGGGCTAGAGCCTGGGCTGAGCCTCAAGCCCTTCATTGTGGAGGCTGCTACTTCCTGAAAGAAAATTCCAAGCAAGACTTCTTTTAAATAGAGAAGAAACTGAAAGGGTGGATGAGAAATGGAATTCCATTCCAAAATAAGAAAGCACATTTAGGCAACTAGAATCACCTTCTGTGAAATGAAAGTAGGCCCCGGCTGGGTCCCTTCCTCACTTTTTCTTTGCAGACGTTTGGGTCCATATATCTGAACGTTGCAACATCTCCGGTGTTGCCTCAGACAGCGCAGAATCCAGCCTAAGCCAGGAAGGGCCAAATCCATCAAGAAGAATAAAACACATCACTGCACACAAGTCTTACCTTTCTTCCTGTCCATCCCCCAAGTCCACTGCAATCCACCAAAGCAAGAGAGAAGAACGGTCCCGGGTCAAAGGACAGCATGGATGGTCGCATCCTTGGCACGCGTGGCGATCTAGCATCCCGCTTGGTCCTCTGTAAGGAGTCTCGGGGAGGTTTCCCAAGAATCCAAGGTCCAGGTTGACCTAGGCTAAACTGGGGCCGCCCCAGACTGGCTTGGCTCAGCACTGAAGGAGGCAAGACTGGAGGACAGGGGGACAGCTGGACATGGAGGAGAATGAAAAGGAGAGAAGGAGATTTCAGCAGGATGGGAGGAACATGGAGTCGTCCCCCCACCCCGAAAGTTGAATTCCCTCTTCTGAGGATTGGGCTTTCTTTTAATGCTAACAACTTGATATTTACTTTCCATTTAAATTTGAGATGCTGCTATAAATTATCAACCAGGCTCTTGTTCCCTTTGAGTTGATAACTAACTACCTGGGTTACTTATTGTTCAGGTAACAAAAGGGAGGTGAGGAAGCCCTTCAGGAATAACCTCGGACCGGGCAAGAGAAGAACTTGAACCCCAGGGGTGATCCCCATAGGGAAAAGCAGGAGGGCCAAAGGTTGGAGGTCAGGAGGGGGTAGGGACCCGTCCTCAACTGTCCCACACCCAGAAGCCCTCCTGCAGAGAGAGGCCACCAAAGCCTGTTCCTCCTGCCCCCGGGAGGGGGGAATTAAGGTGACCTTCTGAATGTCTGGGTTTCTTCATACTTTTCTAAGGACCCCCTTGCTCCCCACCTCTGTCCCACATCAGAAGGCACAGACAGGACATGATTTGAACGCTCCTTTCAGCCTCCCTTCAAGGCATTGGAGAGGAAGTGGTTGCTCCAGGAAACGGCTACCCCCAAGAACCCCACATTTCTGGCTCTACCAAAGTAACTGAGATCATTCTGGGGACAGATGCGCATATTCTGTGCGTTTCCTTCACTCAAATTTATTTCCAATTTTCTTCAATTGCATTATGGGGCAATGAAATATTGGACATTTTCCGCAGAGTAAAATAAGCTATTGTGGCCACCTTAAATTCACTTATCTCTTTATTTCTCATATGTATATGTACAGTATATGTATATGAATATGCATATGTATATATTCACATAAACCTGAAATTATATAGTATAAAATTAAGAAAAATAAAAGATAAAAGAGTAAGTAGAAAAAACAGTGAAGGAAAGGAAAGGAAAAAGACTTCCAATATTCTTTACAAATTGATTACATCTCTTCCCTCTTTAAAGTTACAACATGGGTCTCTTACGCCCATATTCAACCCTTTTTAAACAGAAAATCTATAAATTGCCATTTATCTTTTCCATTTTCAACAAAAAATCTTTTTTGTTGAAATATTTTTTGTCAGAGATATTCAGTCTTTTACAAAAGTTTTAGTTGTCTTATCCCTGATCAAAGAGGTCAATTTCACTATTTCCCAAGTTCTGCCGTGTTCATGTTTCTTGCCTCTGTTGTATGGCTTTTTTCAGTTTTTTCCCCATCTTTGTGCATTTAATTCTCTCTTTACCTCTTTTAAAAACAGGTTGTATGGCTCTATACCAGAATAAACACAACACAATCTAAAGAGACTGTAAATTCCCTATATGAAATGCCTTTGAGGGCGTTTTAATGGCTACTGAGGAGATGAGCACCTTTGTCAAAATCCAAAATCCTTTTGCATCTTGATATTATCATCTAAACCAGCGTTTCTCAACCTTACCAACTCTAAGATGGGTGGACTTCATCTTTGCTGGCTGGGGGAATTCTGGGAGTTGAAGTCCGCCCATTTTATAGTTACTTAGGTTGAGAAATGCCGATCTAAACACTTCTATTCTCCCCCCCCCCCATTGTTCTGTTGTTTGCAGATGCGACAACCATATTTTCTAATCTTTCCTCCAAGTCATTTATAAATATGGTAAGTGGTAGATAGCCTAGAAAGGATTCCTGCCCCTCCCTGCAGGAATAACATCAAGCTAGATCAGGGCTGTCAAACTCATGGCCCGCAGGCTGGATCCGACCCACAGGGTGCTTGGATCTGGCCCGTGGGGCCACCCTGGAAACAGCGAGGGCCTGGCCCGTGGTGCCTCGGCTAGTGAAAATGGGCTCCCAAGCTCCGTTTCCGGTTGCGATGGCCTCCTGCAACCCTCTGCCAGCGAAAATGGAGCTCAGGAACCCGTTTTTGCTGGCAGAGGCACCGCGGGCCAGGCCCTCACTGTTTCCACTGTGGGTGTGGCCTGCTTGATGTCACTCATGTCAGGGGCACCTATGGCGGCCCAAGCGCTCTGCCAGCGAAAATGGGCTCCCAAGCTCTGTTTTCACTGGCAGAGGATTGCAGGAGGCTGTCACAGCCAGAAATGGTGCTCGGGAGCCCATTTCACTGGCAGAGCACTCAGGCCATCACAGGCACCCTTGACATGAGTGACATTGAGCAGGCCACACCCACTCTGACCACACCCACCCCAGCCCCCTGAGGTCAAACACAATCCTGATGCGGCCTTCAATGAATTGAGTTTGACACCGCTGAGCTAGATGGTATTTTGCTCTCCATTGTTCCCCCCGGCCACTTTTTTCAAAGTGAGGCAGCTTTTGCCTTCTCTGAACTTCTGACATTCTATCTTCCATGGTTCCTCAGATACACCTAAAAGTTCTCCAAGACAACATCCACAGGTCCCTTTGTGCTTTTTGGATGGAACTAACCTGATTTTGGAGCCCTAAACCCATTTTCAGGGCAGGACACCTCAGCCTTGCTTTACTCCCCTTTCAAAATCACATGAAGTGTTAGTACCAATTTATAATGCTGTGATAAGACCACTCCTGGAATATTGCATCCAGTTTTGATTGCCATGATATAAAAAAAGATATTGAGATTCT